GTTACCCAACTCGTCATAAGTGAAATTGGATACTAGCTGACACCAGTGGTTCTTCATCCACGACCAAAGTAGTTTCAAGTGAAAGCCACATAAACATGAAGTGGTCCCTTGCTCACCCTTGCAGTCGAAGTCCAGCCCGTCTCCAGGTTGTCTGGGGCCACCCTGGTGGTACTGTTGTGTCTTATTATACTTCTGTAGAGCCAAAGTGTGCCAGAGGTGGTGGCATCTGTATCATGTAATGGGAGGAGAAGTGAGAGGAGAGCTATCGCCTCCAAAAACCGTGGTCCCTAATAGAGAAAGAAGGGACGAGAAGAAAGGAGAAGGAACAGAACTTCACAGTAACTGAGCTATAAAAGGAGAGGAACGGGACATTTATCTTGGTTTATTTTCTAAGAAATCACAAGCTAGGCACAGCATAAAATTCAAAAAGGTGCTTTGAGGGCATTCAGGGTGTGGAGGTTGAAAATAGGACTGAAAATAGATAAGCAGCAGGCTCCTCTACCAGTGTCTGTAGAACAAGCGATGATCACTTCTTGACTCCACCCAGCATTAGTCACTGATGAACTGAGCAACTGCACAAATAAAGTAAGAAAGCCAAAATAACTAAAAATTAAAAATATAATAATTAGCTATTCACTTCAGGGAAATAAAATAACATTCTAGAAAGTAACATACTCATAGTAGTGTATATGATTCAACCAAATTTTCTTCTAGAGAAGTTTTGCTACCAATAGCGGTGATTAAGCAGAGTATCTATTTCCCCAAACCTGTATATTACTAAGGTTTTGGACTTTTGCTTATCACCTAGGCTTTTAAAATTTTTAATAATTTAAAAAATTATGAATGAGATGGAGCTTCATTTCATTTATTTTTGTATAAGTTGTTCATTCATATATCTGCCCATTTCCTACTGTGTTAGTCATTTAAATAAAGATTTTTAAAAAAAATCCTCTGTTAAGAAAGTTGTCATAAGGCTGTCATATATGTGTCTTTTTAAAAAATTTAATATTCTGTTTTTGACTTTGTTTATGGCCTTGTTTGTTTGCTATGTAGAATTTTAAAAATAGCATGTAGTAAATTTATGAAAATTTTCTTTTATGGATTCTGAATTATATTTCATGCTTAAAAATCCATAGCACTCTAAAATGATAAAATTTTATCTCATTTTCTTTAGTATCTCTCAGGCTAATTTTGCCTTTAAATCTTTACTCTAAATTTGTGTGTGTATGTGTGTGTGTGTGTGTGTGTGTGTGTGTGTGTGTGTGAAGCGAGACTGAGGTTTAAGGCTTTCTATTTTCCTTAATTTTTGTTTGTTGTTTTGTTTATTTTCAGGCAGCTACCTGGGCTCAACATCTTGAAAGAATCCTTTTTCTTCATTGATTTTAAATGTTATGTTTGTCTTTTTTCTATCTTTTTCATAGTTTCTTATTAAGATTTCCAACCTAGGCACTCTTTTTTTCATTCAAAGTTTATACTTCAGTATTCGTAGTACTTTATGCCAGTAGCTTACTGGATATGTAAAGAGCATATATCCCATCAGCCCCAAGCTTGTGCTAGAAATAAATACAGAGAAAATGATGTGGATGGAAGAGGAAGCCACTGGAGAAGGAGGGAGAGAGAAATCTGCCCCTTCGCTTCACAAGATGTGTAGTGAGGCGTCACCTCCGACAATGGAAAGTATCCGCCTGTGTTCCCAGCTCTGTCAGTTGGTTTGGATTGAGAGGACCCCAACAAAACAGCTGACAGCATGTTCACAATTGGTCCACACAAGGATGGGAGGCAGACAACCAACTCTGAGGAGCAAGGACAATTTTATATCATCTCTGCTCTTCTTGAAGAGGAAGATTTCAATAGTCAAGACATGGGTTTAGCATCCGGAAGAGTCCCATCTACTTGATTTTTTTGTTTGTTTTCATATTCTTTTTCACTGAAGGTTATTACAAGATATTGAATATAGTTTCCTGCACTTTACAGGGGAAATCTACTTTTTAAATCTAGCTTTATATATAGTGGTTAACATTTGCATATCTCAAAGTCTGAAATTCATCCCTTCCCATAAGATACTTTACACTGTCTGTGAGTGCTTCTGTTTTGTAGATGAGTTCTTTAGTGTCCTC